CAATGCAAGGTCATGATCATAATGTAAGCTCTGTAGCATTTGTTCCACAAGGTGATTTTGTAGTAAGCGCCTCTAGGGACAAGACGATTAAGATGTGGGAGGTAGCAACGGGTTATTGCGTAAAAACATTAACAGGTCATAGAGAATGGGTGAGAATGGCACGAGTTAGTCCTTGTGGAGAACTCATTGCCAGTTGCTCAAACGACCAAACGGTGAGAGTGTGGCATATAGCAACGAAAGAAACAAAGGTACATATATATATATGTATTGATATTAATAGACAATTTTTATCTGATTAATTTTCTTCTAAGAACATTCCTTGCGCGTATAAATTTATACTGAATAAAAAAACATTACAACATTTTCTTGACAAAGATTGAACTCAGAGACCACGACCACGTCGTTGAATGTATCGCATGGGCACCAGAAAGTGCAAGAGCATCAATCAATGCGGCAGCAGGAGCAGACAATAAAGGAGCTCACGAAGGTCCCTTCCTTGCGTCTGGTTCTCGTGACAAGACCATTCGTGTTTGGGATGTTGGTGCTGGTGTATGCCTTTTCACACTTCTCGGACATGATAACTGGGTACGTGGAATCGTTTTCCATCCAGGTGGAAAGTTTATCGTCAGTGCTTCTGATGACAAGACACTCCGAGTATGGGATACGCGTTATAAGAGGGCGATGAAAACTCTAGAAGCGCATGTCCATTTTTGCACCTCTGTCGGTAAATATATAAAGATACTATTTACATTCATTTCTTTTTGCTAATCAACATAGCAATTATTATTTTTTATGTTTTATCCTTAGATTTTCACAAGAATCATCCATATGTGGTCACCGGTAGCGTAGATCAAACGGTGAAGATCTGGGAGTGTCGCTAGTCACCCTATTTTACAGTTTCTTTGGAACTTCATAAACATGAAGAGCGAAGAAGATAAACATGCGCGTCCAGTTCGATTGAAATGGCCGAAAGAGTAACCTGCTCCAAAAGCTATCGTACATACATTATGATTAATATTAATATTATTATTATTATTATTATTATTAATTATTATTAATTATTATTATTATTATTATTATTATTATTATAAATACATACGCGTACGACTAAGAGCTCTTTAATTAATTTATAATAAAGTACGATTATAGTAATTATATTAATATTGTATATCGTTTTACGGTAACGAACTGCACTAATCGAGGAGAGTACATATAGGCTCATCTCGAGGAGGATATTACACAATTTACAGCATTATAGTGTTTGAAACCATAGGAATTTATTTTTCTTTAACTAAATGCGCGAGAACAAAGACGGGATATTCTATATATATTTATTTCTACTTAGTGCAAAATTTTGTCAGTGACTGCCTTTTTATACCCCCATTACCTCTTCTTCTATCCTCTCTGGCTCTCCGCTATAATGCCATCTTTTTCTCTTTCACCTGTTTCTCTGTTTCTTTTCAGGTATTATCAATATTTATTATAATATCAAAAATGCGATATTAAGTATAAAATAAAGGATATTATCGTCCTCCTCGGTTCTCACATTCTTTATCATTTCGTCGAATTTTTTTGACTCTTGTAATTGTGATGAAAATGAGAACTGTGTCATCACCTATATAAGAACAAAGCTTTGTAATTATTTTATGCACTCTCCTCGACTATTTTTGGCAATTCAAAATGGGATGCTGCTTCATCTTTATTCATATACATGATGTCCCATTTGACATTTTGCAATAATTATCTTCCAAGCTACTCGTTACTCAAGAAAAGTATTTTAAGTAAATAGAACTTACTTTGTTTGAAGGAGGACACCTTGTAATGGTTACAAACCTTGTCTAGTTGAACGTGCCTCCGAAATTTCAATATGAGCCTTATTTTCTTTTAATCAAATTATGTATACATATATATGTATATATATATGTATGTATCCCATAAAATTGTGGCTGTAATTGTAACAGTGGACTAAGTTAACAAATTAAAAAAGTTGATTTTATGATTTATTTTATAATAAAAATAATTGTAATATAATTTAAATCATAAAATCAATTTTGTTTCACTTACGTAGAAATATAGCCCGTTTCGTAACAAATTTATCTATTTATCTATTTATAGCTGTAATATATTGGTCTTTCAAGATCCTCCAAGATCATTTATTATCATTCAAAACTTACCTTCGCGTTTAACGTCCTTAAAATTTGGTTTACTGGGGTATTTCATCTATTGAATAGTAATAAACGTGAATCAAAATCACAATAATCGTGAAATTTATCATTATTTTTGTTTGCAAACATTTGTGTAACCATTTTTTCGAAGAAATCAGCATAATTTTAACTAGTTCTCTTTTCGGTAATTATTTCATTTACCATGATTTAAGTTTATCGAGAATAATCTGCTCTTAATAATCTACTCCTAATATAAAGAATATTGTGTTAAGGATGTCTATCAACAAATTTATACAACTTTCAAAGGGTGGAATTATCGTTTAGGTATAGAGTAAATTACTGTCTTAATATCTAAGGTCGTCCTTTTAAATGTTAAAGATAAAGAACAATTTTTAAATGTTTAATTAAAGGTAAGTTTGAAACAGTAATAAATGAATTTTGACGACATTGAAAGACCAACATGTAGGTTGATGAATTCGTCATTAAACGGGATAACCGTCTATTTAAGCGAACAAGTATAATTTCATTAAAAAAAAAGACATGCTTTGAAATCTAAGGCATATCCACTTAAACTAAATTTATAACTATTATAAAATGCCCCCCTTGGAAGAAAGTAATTTCTGCTTGAAACACTTTTTTGAATAAAAGATAGTTTGAAAGATAATTGCGTGTAGAACTTCAAATAGGATACCTGATATAAAAAAAAGCAGTGGCGTAACTTACTGACTGCTATATATCGAATGCCAACGATTGAATTACCACAGATTAGTTTTGAAAACTGTAGTAAGTAGTATGCTGTTGAGATACTCTGCTGCCTGTCGTCACAGAAGATAAAATCCACTACATTAGACAGTCGATTTGAAATAAATGACACACTGCGAAGAGACAATTAGCTCAATAAAACAATTCTTCTATCTAAATATCGCTTGTTTTTCAATATAATAACTACGCATATATATTCAATATATTGGGGATTGTTTCCTCCCAGTGTGATGGGGTTGTATAAACGTACTCAAATGTGCATACTCACAAAGTGAATACAATTAAGAATATAAGATATAATATTGTGCAAATTTAAGTTAATAATGTGGTTAAAAGACTAAAATTAATATGGACAATTTTTATAATGTTTTTGTTTGAATGGGAAGCAACAAAAGTAAAGGTTGAATTTGGGAAATTTAATGTGTACTCTAACTAGAGAATATAAAAGAAAATATAAGCTTTTGCCCAGTGCTTAGCATCCAATCAATGTGCATTAATAATGATAACCTATCGAGGAAAATTAAGTAAAAAAAATACAAAGCATAGTCAAAGAATTTCTCATCGATTTAATTATATTTATTAAATAGAATGCATATTTATATTGAAAACCGAAACCACATAATTCAACGTGTGAGTTCCAAAATGAAAATTGCTAATTCTATACTTAGTTTTAACCACTATTAACAGTAGTTTTTAGGTATGACATAGATAAAAAGGCAAAAATAGAAAAACAATTCAATTCAAATCTATGGTTGGACGACACACTGACATATACATATTTTATTGCATTCATATGTACTTGCATTGTAAGTGTACAGTATGGATATCATGACAATGCTTAATTAAGGGTAATTTTTCAAACATTATACTGACGTTTACAACCTTTTCCTACTATTTCTTCCTTGTTCACCTACTAACCAAATTTACTCCTGGGAAAAATACCCTTCAATTAATGTGGTACTAAATTATTTTGATGAAAAATAAATGAAGTTGTCACTGAGTCGTAAGATCTATATTACCTGCATATACATATATTTCATATTATTCTATTAATAATAATAGTTATTTTAATTTAAACGAAGCTATTAGCTATACAAAAGAAATAATAGAATGGCGAAGAAAAAGAAAAACTTTACCGAATGCTACATTATTCCATAGTTTATATTATTCTTTTATTACCTTTTAACTATTTTTCAATAAATTCGTGAAATTATTTCTAATATTTATTGAGAATGCACCGGCACGATGTTTAAAAATGGCGTGTAATTTCGTTAATTATTCACCGAATTTGATTTGTGTATTGTGTGAAATTTATCTTTGCATTCTAACATACATAACTTTCATTATATCATATGTGAAAGAAAAAAGTTATAGTATTAATTGTAAGAGATGCATCTATGAATTTCGGTGCACATGTTTCATTTGTAACATTGTGTCGCTTTACGACGTAATATTTTAAATACCGTGAAGAAAATATACAATCTAGTTTTATTACAATTTACATTCATTTATAAGTATCATTTTAATTTAACTTTATTCAATTTTCTTCTAAAATATTTATTAGAATATTGAAATTAAACAAATATTTTTTTTTTTATTGTAAGATTACAAATATGATAGAAGTTAAATGTACTGTATACATATGTACACATATGATCATATGCAAATGTATATGTATACATGCACTTGATAACAGTATTCCAGGGTGTGATAAAGAAGGGCCAGAAATATATTGTTATAAGCATACAATGAAACTATACGCATATTGAGCACTTGATATTTGTGTCTACGTATGGTTAATGTAATAAAAATTATGTTGTAGTTGCTTTTCATGATTCGTTATCTAGCTTTAGTGATTCCATTTTTCTACCAATTTTAATAATGTTGCAAATAGTAGAATGGTAATAAAGTATTATTCATCCTTTATAATATATCTATGTTTTTCATAATATTTTTTAACTTCAAATTAACAATTATTATCGATTCTATTAGAAGATAATGTCTAAAAACTAAATTCAAAAAAAGAATAAGAATATAATTTATTCTAATATATTGATATCAAAGATATATATACAAAATAATTGTAATCATTTATTTATAAAACTTTAAATTTCAATAACAGTTCACATATTTTGAATTTAATTATGACCACGTGTTGTTCGATGGCGAGTAAGGTGCTGAGAAGCCATTTGAAGGCGACTTTCTTTCTTGTTTTTGTTGAGCTCGTAAGGCACCCACGCTCCTAATTTTTCGATAAATCCTATTGAATGAAGGTGATTGAGAATCGTTTTATGATCGTAGTTCATTTTTTCCGCCAATTCACGACTGGTTTGGCGACCGTTCTCCTTCAAAAGTGATTTGAGACGTTCTTCATCGAATTCAGAAGGCCTTCCGCTGCGGTACATGTCATCGACGTTAAAGTCGCCATTTTTGAACTTAGCAAACCATTTCCGTGCTGTAGACTCGCCTATGACACCTTCTCCATACACGTCTCAAATGTCCCGCGCTGCTTCTGCAGCTTTTTGACCTCGATGAAAAGCAAACAAGAGCAGGTGTCGAAAATGTTGATTTTTGCCTCCTGGGTATTCCATTTCTAATCCTCAAAACTAATAAAAAATTAAATAACTCAAAAATACAATTAACATAGTTTTGTAGAGCAGAAAGAGTTCTATCGAATGAATACTTATCCGTTACCAAACAGCAAACAAATCGTTGCAAAATAAAAGAAATTATTAAAACGCTATGAACTTATTCCCCAATCCAATATATTACAATGCGTTAGAATGTTTTATTTAATTATTTACTTTTCTTTAACATAAATTACCGTAAGATGGAGCTGTGAGATTTCTCTATATATATTCTATAATTTTCTATTATTTTATAAAAATGACTGATAATTTTATAATAATTTATTTATTATTCAATCTATAAATGTAGAGTAAATAATTTTTACACTTGTAGTAAAAATTAATTCATTTATAGAATAATAAGTATAGCTATTTTATTGTCCTATTTAGGTTCTATGATATAGACCAATCAGGAACGTTCATGGAAACATCAGATGATTATTGAATTACATTATTGATATTTACATCGATTTTATTTATCAAATATATATATTTATAGCATTTATAAATTGAAAAAAATGTACGTACATATGTACGTATGTAACCGCTCATTTAAAAATATAGATAAATCGTAAAATCAGTTTCTTCAAAAGACTTGTTAGCCAACCAATCATGGTTACGAATGTTGGAAATGCTTTCAGTGTGGATTTTCCTTTGTTATCCTCGTATCGGCGACGATCAGTAACGAACAAAAAGAAAAAAAGAAACTCGTGAACGATCACCTACACAAAGACCGGTTTCTTACCTGACTATGATCGTATATTATTAGTTGCACATGATCATTCTCAAGGTACTGTTACCGGCAACAGTGAATTAAACAAATGGTTGTAGTTTTTCTTTCGACGTAATTGTATTTTATCAAATTAAATATTTTGTCCTCTTATTACATTACAACGTGCACAATGAAAGAGTTTTGTTTAATTTATATGCGTTTGATAAAATACATATAATGGGTTAACTTTATTTACGTATTTTGTTTGTATTTAGTTATTACGTATGATTTTATAAAAGTGGCAAAAGTAACACGTAATAATTATTGAAAGATATATTTATCGTTTATACATTGTTTAGTTATTTGAATATCGTTAAAAAGATATAAAAATGTTATCGCAAGACTCTATATCTTTGTCTTTACCTGATACACAAAATGTAGACGCTTTGACTCTCACACAGTCTCAAGATTTACCTGTTTCTCAACAAAAAGCTGTGACTATTTGGGGAAGATTATGCCCAAACAAGCTGTTTTTCAAACCATTAGGTAAATTTATACGTATTATTACATATATATAATAACAATATTCAAGTAATTAATATTATAAATTTTTTATTTTTAACAGAAATGACTAAGGACGAATACACTCTCGGACGTGCCGAGAGTTGTGATATTTGTGTTAATTCTCTAGAAATAAGAGCTAAGTGGGTTAGTGTAATAAGTAAAGTGCACTTTAGGATAATCAGAGAACGTATCGGTGGAAATGATAACGATTCAGTAGTATACTTAGAAGATCTTAGTCATAATGGAACTTTTGTTAATAAAGAAAGAGTTGGAAATCGCAAACGTGTAGTATTAGAAAGTAACGATGTGATATCTCTAGCACAACCTCATTTTGCAGGTAGATATTTATCTATTTTAGAATTAGAAATATTTAAATTATTATATATATAATATATTATTAATTAATAATGTATTATATATTTTAGTATATATATTCATGAGTACAACTGCATTTGAGGGTAATGATTTACCTATGGAATTGAAGAGCAAATATGCAGTTTCACGTAAATTAGGCTCGGGTGCTGGTGGAGAAGTAAAAATGGTATTTACTAAAAATGGTTGTAAAAGGTTTGCAATGAAAACTATAGTTAAAGCAACGAGTACTTCGAATGGATATAGGCACCCCTTAAATGATCCTGAAAAAGTTATGAATGAAGTGAGGATTTTAAAATCTTTGAGGCATGTAAGTTAATATGATATTTCTTTTCTTGCGTTATGAATGTTCACATTGTTTTAATTTTATTACGTTGTGAATGACATTTAATTAATTAAACAAAATCACAATGCAATAGCCTTGCGTGATTAGTTTGGAAGAAATTGTAGATACTCCAAGCACTGTGTATATTGTTCTTGAATTAATGGAAGGCGGAGAACTCTTTCAAAGGATAACAAGCAGAGGTAGATTGACAGAAAATCATGCCAAATTGATATTTTATCAAGTTGTACTGGCAGTTAATTATCTACATGATTCTGGTATCACTCATAGGGATCTAAAAGTTAGTTACTTGATACGTATAATAATAATATGTTAATATGTATTCATTTTGTTTTTTTTAAATTATTATTATTATTTAAACAAATACAGCCTGAAAATATATTGCTGGCAAGCAATGCAGATGTGACTTTAGCTAAAGTCTCAGACTTTGGTCTATCAAAATTAGTAGACGCGCAAACCATGATGAAAACATTTTGTGGAACACCAATGTATGTAGCACCTGAGATATTATCAACAAGTGGACGTGACTCATATACAAACAAAGTATAACTTATATTTTTTAACATTTTTTAAATATTGATCTCATTGAAATATACTTTATATACTAATTTATTTTAGGTGGATATCTGGAGTTTAGGTGTAATTTTATATGCTTGTTTAAGTGGATCAGTTCCATTTAACGTTACGTGTAAAGAAGTTTCTTTACAAGATCAAATAAAAAGAGGTCTTTATGGATTTCCAAGTTCTAAATTTGGACAAGTGTCGGATAAAGCTATCGATTTGGTAAGAGTTATTCATGTCCATTGTATTGAATAAGGCCTTTGAGAAACAAAAGTAACATATCAAAAATTTATATCAATACTTTCATATGATTTAGATACAAAATATTTAGAAATATATTGAGAAAAAAGATTTCGTTTTTAGATCAAGCGTATGATGACAGTAGACCCTAAAAGACGAATTACCATTAAGCAAGTATTGTTACATCCTTGGCTACAGGATCGTTATATTCGTAATACTGTACATTCTTTATTTAATTACGGCAATGAAGAAAACTGCCCTCCAGTTAATTTACCCACAGATAATAAATATAAACATGGCTCGCATGCAGGTTTGATAAAACGACCAAGAATAGAATTCTAAATATTTTGACCAAATATAGCCTACTAGCGGGTCTATGTAATGATAAGTACAAATATAATAATAATAATAAAGTAAAAATAAAAAAATATTGACTTTTTTAAAATAAAGAAAATTATGTTAATTCCGTGCGCAAGGAATAGCGTAATACGTGTTCATTTTTCTATTATCAAATGATTTTGTTATTATATATTTATGTTCTTTTCATACATAAATAGTATTAATTTACATAAATATAGTAGTGTATATAATGTCTAATATAAAGAAGAACAAATTTACATGCAACATATAATACAATCACATTTTTCATTAACACTATATGTGCTCCTATATTTGTAATTTATGCTGTTGATTTTTTCAATAAGGATTTGTCTACGATTTCTAATTCATGTGTTTTATTTTAACATAATATCATGTCAATTGAAGTACATGTTACGATTCCGACATTAGAAAAGAAGGTTTTCTGACATTTTGTTATTTGATTTGCGCATATATTTTTAATTAATTCAAAAATATAATCTAACTTTATAAAGATTTTTGTTCATCATGACATAGAAGTAAAATATCTTGTATTATTTCATTATAAACAATTTAAACAAAATTTCACATTATAGTATACGAGCATTTATGGCAATAAATTTGTTTTGTTGCGACATGTTTCTTTTTATTTTGAGTATGGTTGATATTTCGTATAACACATAACATAATTCAACATGCAAAAATACGCTTTAAGTATATTTATAATTTATGTGCCATTTTCCACTTAAAATGTTACGTGCACTATTTGAATGACATCGATATTGCATTGTTTATCATTCTTCTTTACAAGTATAAATGTCATCTTTACCAGGACAAGGATTTGGCATTGGTGTTTCTAAATCTGGATCCTCTTTTTTCGTAAGTCCAGCAAGATGCCGTTTTATTTGAGCTATTGCTCTTCCAGGGTTTAAAGCCTGAAATAAAGTTTATAAGTCATTTTCTAAGATAGAGAAAGAAATTGAAATTATTATATATGATGTTATATATACTTTAGGGCATGTTTTAGTACAATTAAATATGGTGTGACATCGATAAACCGAATAAAAATCTTGTAGCTTATTAAGACGGTCCTTATACGCCATATCTCTTGAATCTATCAACCATCTGTATGCCTGTAATTTATGTATACAACAAAGTATACATACAGAGATTAAAGATTTGTCTTTGTTTTATACAAGATGATAATAATTTGATACCTGAAGAAGAGCAGCCGGACCTAAAAATTTATCACCTAACCACCAGTATGGAGGACACGAATAAGAACAGCATCCACAAAGGATACACTCGTATAATCCATTGAGTTTATCTCTATCCCTTGGACTTTGTAAAATTTGTCTTAAACCAAGAAAGCTATCTTCTCCGGGACGTTTTAAGAATGGATCAACTGAAACAACTTGTTTAAGAAATTGTGTCATATCCACAATTAAATCTCGGATTACATAGGCATGTGGTAAAGGATAAATAATTATCGGCTTCGGTGAATGTTCTATTTTTCTGAAAGTAGAATCACACGTATACACGAATATATATGTTTAAGATACTATCACAGAATTGATTATATTGAAAAAATATATATATCAAAATGAAATCGATGTATTATAATTACGTGACACAAGCTAGATTATTAACACCATTGATATTCATCGAACAACTTCCACAAATTCCTTCGCGGCATGATCTTCGGAATGATAGAGTAGGATCGAGTTCTCCTTTAATTACGTGTAAAGCGTCCAAGACCATAGTACCAGATTTATTTAAATCAACATTGTATTGTTGCATAAAGGGCTTTACTTTTGGCTTTTCTGGATTCCATCGGTATATACGAAACGTTTGCATTTTCGTTTTCTTTTCAAATTTTTCCTATGTTAGTAAAAAAAAACACATTTAATAATTATTTATTTAAATATAGGCAATTATTTAGAATGGAGCTTTTCCAAAATTTTGATTTTCTTTCACTTCTAATGACATGATTAGTATTTATAATAATCAGGGTTACATATTGCCATAGAGTATATACTAATACTTTATTATAAATATATATAAATACAATCTTTTAAAATAGGATTATTATATAAAATAATTTAATTATCAATATTCTTGTCCACAAATATGTTATTAATATATAAGTCTCAAAGGGAGTTATAGACGGTTAATAAATCTATAATTATATAATATATAATAAAATAATATTAAATAAAATTGCTGTATATTAATCAATGTAATAGTGAGCAAGAAAAATTGTTATCAAAAGAATTGCAAAAAAGAATAATCTATATTAGAAAAAGCTTCTATTCTAAATAATTACCTACATATATTTTACCATATACTTTTTTTCATAATGTGTTCTTTCATACAACTTGTGTGTTTCAACTTATACTAACGTCATAATTTTTGCAGTCCTTGACATTCATTTTTTCGTTGCTGAGTAACGTTTCTGTATTCTTTGATGATGATAAATATCTTAATGGAAAAGAAGATATTATTAAACGGAACCATGAATTATGTTGTAAATTAATATAGCCGTTTTTACAAAATTGGCTAGTGAAACCACCAGCATCGGCAAGGAACATGTCCTTCGATCGATAAATCTAAAAACTAGACGATTTTATGAGAGAACCCCAGGACTTTTCTCTTTGTTCTTTTGAACATTCCGAATTAGTTAACAAGGATCCCTCTGATCTTTCTGGCAGTAAAATTAGAAACAAAATATTAAAATCGAGCGACTATCTTAACGATTTCTAATACGACTATCTTCAGGATATTTTGAATATTTAGAGAAAGAAATATTCAGTTAGGCGATTTTTTTTAACTCGCTCTTCGTATTTTTATTACCATTTCTTTATTGTTTTAATAGAATTTCCTTGTTGCATATAATTTCTGATTTTTAAATATTATTGTCTCATTCTATCATCAATAATACACAATAAAAATAACGCAGATACGTCGGGGTTTGTACAATCGTAGAATCTTTATTTATTTTTACAAGGTGTTATAATAATTTGAATAATAAAATCATAAAACTTAATGGTAAGTCGTTGTTGACGTAATGTCCGACCTCTCACGATTTTTTAGAATTCGAATGTAGTTTCATGTTATGTAAATAATACACTATTTTGTATATATGTATGTGTACTAGTTAATATTGCACATTTTCATTGATCGATAATGTAGTCAATTGGTTCAAGTCTTACCAAAGGAAAGTAAAAAGAGTCGATATATTTTTTTCTCCCATACAAAGAACTGTGAGGACCTTGAATTTGTTTTTCGCGCCACTATCTACATGTGATATGTTGAAAAAATTTTATTCGAAAAAAAATAAATTCGTAAATATTTACACACAGCAAATAACAATGATTGCAATAAAGACTACGATTATAACTTCTAATTTGATAAACTGTATTTTAAACGACAACACGAGAATAATAAAAATATGATATAATTTTACATTGCAATAGATCATTCGATCAATTTTGAGATCTATTTATTTTTTTGTTTATACTTTGTTTATGCTAACCTCATCCTGGAGGTTTTTCAGGGTTTGATCATTTTCCACAAATGAAATATCTAATTTATTATTTATTATTTATTATATATATATATATTATTATTAACATATGACGTCATTTTTTTTATAGATCTTTTTATGATCATTATCATTATGATACAAATAATTTTCAATAGGTTAAATGTCTTATCACCATATGGTGCAAGAGGTTAATACAGATTAACTCCCGCGAAGAGTTAACGATGTATATCATATCGTTTGATAGAACGAAAATAACTGGCTTTGATTATCAATAAAAGAAATTGTTTTCTAACTGAAAATGTAATAGTTCTATTTGTGGGATTTATAATCCGACGTGTATGGTGAAAACGCAGTAGATTGAAGTTCTTATTTCGCGTTAGATACTTGTAATAATTTATTACGTGTTTATTTTGTACAAGTTTTTAATAATTGAATAAAAAATAAAAAAATAAATTAAATATTAAGTAAGAAGTTCTTTGCTTATATATTCTTTATAAGCCATTTATATTATTTTCAATAATAATTTAATTTGTTTAATATATAAAAATTATTTATAATCTTTTTAGAAATGGCAGATCAAACTGTCTTGGTCATAGGTAATGGTGGTAGAGAACATGCTATTTCTTGGAAATTATCTCAATCTCCACATGTAAGGCTAAATCATTAATTAATCAGATATTTTATATGTAAAATATTTTTAATATTTATGTTTCATTATTGTTTATAGATTAAGAAGATATTCGTTGCTCCCGGCAATAGTGGTATTGCTTTGTTGGATAAAGTTTCTTTAGTAAAACTTAATGTTAAGGATTATAAAGTATGTGATACATGCTTGAATATTTTTTATTCTGTAAGATTTAAATAATTTCTTGTTATAGTAGATTTATTTGGTAGGAAGTAGCTGAATGGAGCAAAAAAAATGGAATAAGTGTTGTCATTGTTGGTCCAGAAGAATATCTTGCAAAAGGTTTGGCAGATGAATTGCAAAATGAAGGAATACATTGTTTTGGACCACAAAAGAAAGCAGCTCAAATAGAAGCCAATAAAAATTGGGCTAAACAATTCATGGATCGATATAATATTCCAACAGCTAAGTGGAAAGGATTTACTAATGCTGAAGATGCAAAAGCATTTGTTAAAACGTTAGCGAATCACATAAATAAATATATATATATAATTGTTTTGTAAATATAAATATATTATATGATTTTATCAGTATAAATATAAATATTTTAGTGCTTCGTTTCGAGCTCGTGTGATTAAAGCTTCAGGTTTAGCAGCGGGTAAAGGTGTTATTGTAGCCAAAAATGTAGAAGAAGCATGCAAAGCGATTGATGAAATGTTAATTAATAAAAAGTTTGGTTCTGCCGGTGAAAATATTGTTGTAGAAGAACTTTTAGAAGGCGAAGAAGTATCGGTTCTTGCATTCACAGATGGTATGATAGTATATATAATATAAACAATTTTTTCAAGTTTTAAAACATTTATCATAATAATATTAACTATTATTTAGGAAAGACTATAATTCCTATGATACCATCGCAAGATCATAAGAGAATATTTGATGGAGATACTGGTCCAAACACCGGTGGAATGGGGGCCTATTGTCCATGTCCTTTGCTGAGTGAAACAGATTATGAAATAGTGAAGTTAAAAATTCTTGAACAATCTATTAATGGATTCCAAAAAGAAAATATACCATTTGTTGGTAAATAATTGTAATAATATATTTAAACAAAGTATATCAAATAATCTCTCTCTTTCTCTATTTTGTTATTATGTATTTTAGGTGTTTTGTATGCTGGTTTGATGATTACTAATGAAGGTCCTAAAGTTCTAGAATTTAATTGCAGGTTTGGTGATCCTGAAACACAAGTGATATTACCATTATTAAAATCAGATCTCTTTACAATTATAAAGGTGAATTTAGTATTTTTTATATAATATAATTTATTAACAATGGCAAGAAATATTTATGTAATATTGTCTTATTCAGGCATGCTGCAAAGGTATCTTGGATCAAATTCACATTGAGTGGCATGAAAATGTATTTGCTGCTGGAGTTATTTTAGCATCTCGTGGATATCCAGCTTCATCTTCTAAAAGTCAAATAATAACAGGAATTGATGATGTGACATCTAAAAAGAATTATTTTATTTTCCATAGTGGTACTGATCTGTCTTCTCAAGGAGAATTATTAACAAACGGTGAGATAGTTTATAAATAATGAATAAATTTATTATGATACTTATTATTAAAATATTTGTTTATTATATTTTTAGGTGGAAGAGTCCTGATTGTTGTTAACATTGCACATTCACTAGTATTAGCCGCAGCTAGAGCTACTCAAGCTGCTCAGAATATATCATTCGATGGAAAACAATTTAGAAAGGATATAGCACATAAAGGTATCCCCCGGTATGTATATTAAATTTTTTGTAAACTTATAACAAAATTTATCTCAATAAAAATCATTACAGGTCAATTCTTCGTTGTGGAGATTTAACATATAAAAATAGTGGTGTCGATATTGAGGCTGGCGATTCTTTAGTATCTGCCATTAAACCTGCATCGTGTTCTACCGTGCGTTCTGGTACATTAGGATCTATTGGTGGTTTTGGTGGTATATTCGATGTCAAAGCTGCAGGTTATAAGGATCCTATCTTAGTTTCTGGTACTGATGGAGTTGGTACAAAATTAAAAGTAAGTACATATTAAATGATACAAATTCTATAATATAAGATGGGCACATTAATTAATACCGACATTAAATTATTTTTTTAGATTGCATTTGAATGTCATAAACATGATACAGTAGGAATAGATTTAGTGGCAATGTGTGTTAATGATATACTCGCACATGGAGCAGAACCACTATTTTTCCTTGATTATTTTGCTTGTGGTAAACTTGATGTTAATGTAGCTGCCACTGTTATAAATGGCGTTTCAGAAGGATGCAGAAAAGCTGGATGTTCTTTGGTAAATATATATGTATATATGCAATAGAGCGTCAATTATCCAAATGAATTGGGAAGTAAATTCGTTTTGATAATCGGTTTTTACTCTAAATAGCTAATTATTAATTAAATGTAATATATTATTAATTAAAATAAATAAATATAAATAAATAAAATATATATAGCGCGCTGTAAAGTATATACATACGTAACTCATTCTATATTCGGATAAACGGTCAGTCGAATTATTGACATTTAGATAATTGACGTTCTATTGTATATATAAATAATGTTAGAGTTCTACTAATAGAGATCAACTGGTAAGAAATATAATACTTTATATAAAATATATACCTTCTCAATATTTTAAATTTTGCAAAATAAAAAATTGAGCTTATCTTATTTCTAGATTGGTGGAGAGACCGCAGAAATGCCAGATATGTATGTAAATGGAGAATATGATCTGGCAGGATTTGCAGTAGGAGCAGTTGAAAAAGACAATTTGTTACCGTGCATTGATAAGATTACACAAGGAGATATTGTAATTGGTCTTCCATCAAGTGGTATACATAGTAATGGTTTCAGTCTGGTGCGAAAAGTTCTTGAAATAGGAAATGTTAAATACACAGACATTGCTTCATTTTCTGAAACAAGAAAAACTATTGGTAAATTTATTTAATGAAGTCATACATTTTTTTATGAACTCATAAATACATAATGTTATGCATTAATTGGTTATAGACGAGGAACTTTTAGAACCAACTAAAATTTATGTTAGAGGTGTCATTCCTGCTTTAAAAGCAAATTTAATAAAGGCATTTGCTCACATTACTGGTGGAGGTTTAATAGAAAATATACCAAGAGTTTTGCCTAAAAATGTTAAAGTAACTTTAGACGCATTTAAATGGAAAATTTTACCTATCTTTGGATGGCTTGCTGCAGTTGGTAAGAAACCAAAAAGATATTATATTACAAAATTAAATAATCTTGTTTAAAAGTATCCAATTTTTTTGTTTATATTTTATAGGTAATATTAGTCAACGAGAAATGTTAAGAACTTTCAATTGTGGTATTGGGGCTGTTTTAATATGTGCAGAAAGAGAAAAAGATGAAGTATTACAACTGTTAAAAGAAGAAAATCCAATGATTATAGGAAAAGTACATTCTCGTTGTAGTGAGTTGGTTATTTAAATTTAAATACACTATTATTTTTCTACAGTATATTTATATAAATAATATATTTCAATATTATAGATGATGAAGCAAACGTTGAAGTTCAAAACTTCGACAAGTCGATAGAAACAGAGATGAGAAAATATGTGCCACATATTGTATCCAAATTAGCAACACCACTTAAAAAAGTGGGTGTTCTAATTTCTGGTAGTGGAACTAATCTTCAATCACTAATTGATGCTACAAAAGATCCAACACAGCACATTGGTGCAGAAATAGTTATAGTAATATCCAATAAACCAAATGTTGAAGGATTGAAAAGAGCAGCAAGAGCAGGCATCAAAACAGTTGTAAATAGAAATTTCAACTACTATATCAGTATTTATATCATTCATTTACTTTACTTTTCATCCACGCATTGTACGTAATACTATTATAATGTTACTTCATTATTTTTTAACTTAGGTTATTCAACATAATCAATATGCAAGTCGAGAAGCTTTTGATTCAGCAATGAATGTTGAACTTGACAAAGTAGGAGTAGAGATTGTATGTTTGGCTGGCTTTATGAGAATTTTGTCTGCGCAATTTGTAAATAGATGGAAAGGTGCATTAATCAATGTACATCCTTCTTTACTACCTTCTTTTAAAGGGGCACAAGCACATCAAGATGCTTTAACAGCTGGCGTACGCATTTCAGGATGTACTGTTCATTTTGTTGAGGTAACAATTGTTAATACGCGCGCGTTCGCATTAATAATATATATTAAAATTTAAATAATTTTGCTATATTATTTGTACATACATTATAATCGTTCTGCATTATTTAATATAGGTTGATATTGATTCTGGAGCTATTATAGAGCAAGAGTGGGTACCTGTTTTACCAAATGATACTGTAAAAACACTTCAAGAACGTGTAAAAAAAGCGGAACATAAAGCTTTTCCTCGTGCATTAAAACATTTAGCCACAGGACGTATACAGTTAAAGAATGATGGTAAAATCCAATGGAACTATTAAATCATATATTTATATATACATATATATATATTTATGAAGATATCTTATATCTTATATTTGCTACTTTATGAATAAAATTTAAATATTTTTTATAATTATTATTTCTTTTTTAATTTTTTCTAATTGGTATTTTGTATAAATTTAAGGTCACATCGTTGTGTCGGATGATACANTTATGAAGATATCTTATATCTTATATTTGCTACTTTATGAATAAAATTTAAATATTTTTTATAATTATATATATTATAAATTATATTTGTTCAAATCTTTTTCTCATAGATTTTATATAAACTATACAAGTAGATATATACTTCGTTCTTCTTCTAGTCAATAAATAAAATATAATGCATTAACTATTTATTTTAGATTTTTAATAAACATTAATATTATATAGTTTATTAACTACTTTATCTTTAGGTAACTTTTTTTTTGAATATTGTTATAATCAAACTAAAAATGTCGAAATTATTGTTGTCACTATAAGTATTGTTTATATCTTTTGTTACTGATTTTGTTGTTGATTGAACTGGTTCTTTAAATAATGCTTGTTCTGCAAGAGATTCTAAATTAACATGAACCATTTGTTTCTGGAGTATAGGTACTAGTAAATTATATTTATCAATTTTATTGTTTAATTTTTTAATTAAAGGTTTTAAATTCTCAATAGTATTATTCCAACTTTTTGTTTCTTTGAAATTTAATGGAATTAAACCTAATTTATTGCGCGCTTCTGTTAATAATTTATTTAATTCTTTTGTTTCTTCTCTGATTTCCTTGGAAAGTTGTATCCATTCTGGAGTAAATCCATTCTCTATTAATACCTATAATACAATTAAAATTAATTTTATATTTGTTATATTATGATATTATATCATATATATTATTTATAAAATTATTATATATTATGTTTTTATAAAAGTTATTTTAATACCTGATTTAATTTGTGCGTAGTGAAGTCAACATATGGATTTTCTCTGCTGATATTATTTTGTAAGGGTTTACCCATGCCAGGAAGATCGCTAAATTCGCCTTTATTCATTGCCTCTTGAATCAAATCTTCTACCAACCGATCCATACCATAGCGTGTCTTAATATCTTGAGCATGTTTTTTATCCATCCCAATTAATGTATTACGTTCTTCTGCTTGTAATTTTTGCAATCTATGTTCCATAATATTTTCAATAGCTTTTTGTGCTCTTTCAATAGTGTGTAATTTTTGTCTTTTACTTGGCGTTCCTATTCCAACATCATAATTTAGATAATGACGATGTTGTGGTGCTGTATGCTTATAATAAAAATTCAAATGTACTTATAGATAATTATACAAGATGGGACTTAATATATCATATGTATTAAAACATATAGAAGTAAAAGATAATATTTTAATGAAAACCTTAATATCGAATTCTTCAACTTCTGGTAATAATTGAGAATTACTTTCTTTCATATCGTTGCGTAGCTTTCGTATTTCTCTATAGGCATTTTCAACCTAAACAGAATGTTATTAAAAGTTGTATTATATATATGTTTTTTGATTAATTATATAAGTTGACAATATATTTGAAATATTTGTACTTCGGCAAATCTAACTGCATCAGCTTCTGGTGCTCCTCTGTCTGGATGGAACTGTTTAGCAAGATGTATAAAGGCAAGTCTAAGTGTTTCATCTTCGCAATCTTCATTTACTCCAAGTGTTTGATATAATTGCTAAAGAAATATTTCTATGTTACATAGATTGTAAATTATTAAAATAAATATACTTCGTAAGTAATGAAGTTTTACTTTCACAGACTTTGCAGAAATATGGTATTTCAATCGTTTTAGAAACAGTATGTTTATGAAAGACACACGAGCAAATTGTCTACTCCCCTTCACGCATGTACAATTGAAAGTTGACATATTAGATTTAACCAGTAGTTACTGTAGATAGAAACTGATATATGGTCATGTCAACAGCATAATCATTTGTTCATGAGTGATTATATAATCGTCATTTAAGATTATAACATATATGTATAATTCTTAACATTTATATTTATGTACATTTATTACCAATTGTAACTATACTCAATAAAAAAAAAATAAAAAAGAATTATCGAACACTTAGTGGTTGGAATAAGGCATTTACAAATGTTGATTTCAATTTCTTATTGGTTAAAGTGGATTTGTTCAAGCATTTGATTGGTGTTTGCTTCACATGTGTTCCAAAAGAATAGGACGCTATACATATTTGAAATATTTGAATTATATCGGCGCCATTTTGTATCAACGGTTTGTCTGTATAATGGTGTTTTGTAGAATATTCAATTTATAATATATGATAAATTTAACAAAATTTGCAATTCTAAACATATATTACTGATGTAAAATATCATATAGTTTGTAAAGTATAATATTTACTTTTCTATAAACTTCGATAATTGGGGTAATATTATCATCGAGATATTATTTCGCGCGGTTTCAATTAAATTTAAAAAATTCTTAGTTCTGTTTATTTGAATTAATTTGTAATTTATTTTATATGTAGTTCATAGAAATACATTTTAGTGATTATAACATGAATGGTATTAATTATTTAATGAAATATTTGCAAGAGCAATATTACATATAATTAATGTTATTGGTTAACCTCAAACAATCAACGTGTAAATTGTATTTTTCAAAATATTGACTATGTTATAAGAAGTATTTAGAATGGCTAATAAAGCAGGTAATAGATGTAATACTTCTGATGAGATGGAAGTGGATTTTGTAAATAATGAACGCGATAATGATGAAGAAGGGGGTATAAGGATAGATGATGACATTTACATTCCACCACCGCCAAGTAAGATCAATGATCTAGATGAAAATGGACCTAGACTTATGATTACAAAAATAGTTAATGAAAACTTTAAAAGTTATGCTGGCGCACAAGTTATTGGTCCTTTTCACAAGGTAAACATAGTTATATAATCTGTTTAATTTATATTTAGAATTTTTATGTGTATCTGTGTTTTATTTATCAATATATCTTTTAGTGTTTTTCAGCAATTGTGGGACCAAATGGAAGTGGTAAAAGTAACGTAATCGATTCAATGCTTTTTGTATTTGGTTATAAAGCAAGTAAAATACGCTCCAAAAAAATATCAGTTTTAATACACAATTCGAGTCAGCATCCTAACTGCAAAAGCTGTACTGTTTCTGTATATTTCCAAAGAATAATGGATAAGGTAAACTAAAAATATACAATTTTTTTTGTTTTACTATATATGTAGGATTTTATTTTTATAAAAAACGTATGATAAAAGAAAAAAAGAAATGTTTATATTGTAGGAGGGTGATGATTATGAAGTCGTACCGAATAGTGAATTTGTAATATCAAGAACAGCATTTAAGGATAATACATCATATTATGAATTAAACAAGAAGAAAGTACTATTTAAGGAGATATCTAAACTTTTAAGATCTCATAGCGTTGATTTAGATTACAATCGATTTCTAATTTTACAGGTATGAATAATAAAAGTATAATTCCGATATTTTAAGATTGAAGATCTAATAAAATCTTTGAATAGGGTGAAGTAGAACAAATAGCAATGATGAAACCAAAAACTGGAAATGATAATGAAACTGGTATGTTAGAATTTTTGGAAGATATTATTGGTACGGTGCGTTTTAAAGAACCTCTCGAAAAATTGTTGGGGAAGGTTGAATTATTATCAGAATATAGGATTGAAAAAATGAATCGTCTTCGAATTGTTGAAAAGGAAAAGGCTGCTTTACAAGAACCTATGCAGGATGCAGTTAATTATTTGAGAATGGAGAATGGTATAACAAAATTAAAATATCAGTTATATCATTGTAAACGGTAAATGAATAATATTATATTAGCTTACCTTATAATGCTTTGCGATAAATTATTGTATTTTATTTTATTCAAATAAATAATTTAAAATCTGTTATAAATCAGTGTTAGGAAAGAACACGAAGTTAAATTACAAGAAGAAACAACGAATGAAGTAAAAAAAGATATCCAAAATCTTTTAAATGAATTGGAAATTGTTCAACAAAAAAAGGATGAAGAAGAAAAGTTACTCAAAGAAAAAAATAAAAAATGGGACAAATTACAATCTACTAAGGATGATATTGACGCTCAATTTGAAGAAATAAGAAATAAGGATGAATATTTATATGCAGAAATGATAGAGACAAACAAAAGAAGGAAAGAGAACCTCAAATTGGTGAAAACTGTAAGTTTAATAATAAAATTGAAGATTTCCGTGAGATATGAACACTTTTATAAAATATTCATTTTTGTTTAATAATTTCAGGAAAAAAATAAATTAGAAGAATTGCAAGCAATACCTACAAAGAATTCAAGCACAATAGAAGAGTATGAAAAACATATACAGAACGATCTCCAGTTAACAGAAAAAGAGGAAGCTGCATTGGTTACTTTAATGAGTGGTGTGCGTGAAAAAACGGAACCATTGCTTAATGAACGATCTCAATTAGAGAAACATTTAATATCTCTTAAAAAAGATGTTAACGAAGCAAAGAGTACATTTGATATTGAAAATTCTAAATTACAATTATATACATCTATTGAACAAACGGAGAGAGAAAAATTGAATAATATAGAAGAAACTTTAGAAACTACTGTCAGTACGATTAAACAAAGAACTGAACAACTTATTTCCTTAAATAAAAAAATTCCTGCTACTCAAAAAAGCTTGGATCAAGCACAAAATGAATTTAAAGAAGCAAAGGATCGAGAGATTCAGATAACTTCCAAGCTGAAGAATTTGAGAATTTCTTACGAAGAAAAAAAATCTGCTATGCAAGCAAGTAATTCTAGAAATAAAATTTTAACTTCACTCATGAAAGAAAAAACGGAAGGAAGGATTCCTGGTATTTTTGGTAGATTGGTAGGTTTATATATATATATATATATATAGAGAGAGAGAGAGAGAGAGAGAGAGAGAGAGAGAAAGTGGAATCAGAGACCTGAATATCTCTGTTGGATTTAAAATTGCAAAGTATGTCTACATCTGAATCAACATTTTTTTGAAGGACACACATGATCATCGTAACATCATTTTTTTTAGATGTTTTTTTAGGTCACCGACGTTTTTTTAAATGTAATTGCATGTTTTTTAAATCCAACAGAGATTCAGGTGTTCAGTTAATTTTGAATCACCCTGTATATACAGGTTTATAAATATTAACTTATACAAAATATCATAATATATTATGATTTTATCACTAGGGTGATCTTGGTGCAATAGATGCAAAGTACGATGTAGCAGTTTCGACTGCTTGCGGTCCATTGGATAACATAGTAGTGGATACAGTTAGTACTGCTCAAGCATGTATTACTTTTCTTCGTGAAAATAATATAGGACGTGCAACATTTATAGCTCTAGAAAAACAACAGCATTTGCTTTCAAAATGCAAACAAAAAATAAATACACCAAACAATGTTCCTCGACTAATTGACTTAATACGTGTTGAGGATGAAAATGTATTACCAGCATTTTATTACGGTTTACGCGATACTTTAGTAACAAATAATTTAAATCAAGCAACACAAATTGCATATGGACCCAAACGTTATAGAGTGGTTACTTTGAAAGGAGAACTAATTGAAATGTCAGGTACTATGAGTGGTGGTGGATCTACTGTATTGAGAGGACGTATGGGTCAAAAAGTGGTTAGAAATGAACCTTCCATTGCTGATGTTGATAAATTAGAAAAGAATCTTGATAAAGTATACGAAGAATGTAACGATTTAAGAAATAAACAGCAGACTTTGGAAAATCAAATACACACTCTTTCAAGTTCGTTGAAAGATATGACACTAGATCGAAATAAATTTAATATCGAGGTACAGACTCTTAAAGAACAAAAATCATTATTAGAAGTACAGCTTAAGAATCAAAAAAAGAAAGTTGCAGAATCAGTATGTGATCCTAAAGAGATACAAAAGTTGAAGAAAACTATAGATACTGCCCAACAGAAATTGAATGTATTTCAAGAAAAATCAATGGTCGTTGAAAATAAAGTTGCTGATATCAATATGACAATTGAGAAAATATCTGGTGGACGTATAAGGGAACAACAGCAAAAAATATCAAATTTAACTAAACAAATAGAAAACACAAAAGCTGAAATCTATAAATTACAAGTGGCTATTACAACGGCTAAACGAAATTATGACAAAGTGACAAAGCGTATAGAAGTTCTTGAAAGTGATATAAACACTGGTGAAGAAAAACTACGTAAAATGCAAGAGGAAAAAAAGGATTTAGAGGAAAAAGGAAAAGTCCTAATAGAAAAATTGAACGAAGTTAATAAGGTACTGGTAGAACGGGACGAAGCTACGGCGTCTATAAAAGAAAAATTAGAAAAATTACAAATCCGTGAAAATAATATGAAAGCCGTAAAAATAGATTTAGATCAGAAAATTAAAATTAATAAGAGAGATTTAGAGTCAATCAAAGCACAACTTCTTGAATATATACAAAAAATAAATTCTTTAAAACTTAATACAATTCCACAAGAGCAATCTGAAGTATTGAAAGAATTATCAGACGAAGAAATAAATGAATTGAACGAAAAGGTTATAACTGAGAAATTGGATAAAGCAATACAACATTTACCAAAAGATATTCCCAATATGCAAATAATTGCTGATTATGAAGAAAAAGACAAACTTTACTTGAAAAGAGTTGCAGATCTCGAATTAATAACAACAGAAAGAAATAATTTGCGGGATATTTATGAAAAAGCACGCCGACAAAGAATGAGTGAATTTCTTACTGGTTTCACATTGATAACGAATAAACTAAAGGAAATGTATCAAATGATTACTTTAGGAGGGGACGCTGAACTTGAATTAGTTGATTCATTAGATCCATTTAGCGAAGGTATAGTTTTCAGTGTAAGACCACCAAAAAAATCTTGGAAAAATATTAGTAATCTTAGTGGCGGTGAAAAAACATTGAGTTCTTTGGCTTTGGTGTTTGCACTGCATTATTATAAGCCTTCGCCATTATATTTTATGGATGAAATAGATGCAGCTCTAGATTTCAAAAATGTTTCTATTGTTGGTCATTACATAAAAGAAAGAACAAAGAATGCTCAATTTATAATTATATCACTGCGGTCGAATATGTTCGAACTTGCAGATTATCTTGTAGGAATATATAAAAAGAATAATTGTACAAAAAGTATAAGAGTTAATTTGGCTAAATATTACGTCAGTAATGGAATTTCACCTCCAACGCAAATTACTATGTCTAAAAATTTTTATACCCAAACACAGATGTCGCAAATTACATCGACAAATAATGCACAAAATGAAATAATAAATAAAGATAAAAATGGACACTCAAATGGAATGAATTTAAATAACTTATTTGAGTAAGATAAGAAATTATATTGTTGTACTGAAAGTATTTATGTGTTTATTTTTTTTATAGCTTATTCATGTACATATATTTTTAATTGGTGGTTTCAGATTACAAAATTTGAGTTTGTGTGAAACTCCAAAAAAATCTGATAATTCTAATCAAGACATTAATAATGAAGAAACAAATGGAAACAAAGAACCTGCAAGAAAGAAAAGAAAAATATAGAAGTTCTTTAATAACAGATTATTATATTAAGACGAAGGTATGTTTTTTGTAAGAACATATCTTATGTAAAAAAAAATACACTGTGTGCAATGCGAGGAAATAATTATTTGAACATGCATTGTTCACGGAATATATTTAATGTCTCATTTATTAATTTTTTTTGAATTTTTCAACTTTTTAATTTTTGTTAACATTCTTTCTTAGACATATATTTAATATGAAAACCGATGTAGATTCATCTGTAGAAAACTAATACAAAATTACATTTATTAATGAATTATTCTATTTAATTAATAATTTCATTTATGCATCATTTGATTTTTTTTAAAGATCATAATGTCTATAACAAATTGGCCTCACTTTGCAAGGATTTTATTTATTGTTTTTACGTAATATACCTAATTCTGTTTTTACACGATAGATATGTTCTCAAAGAATACGTGTAAAAAAAATTCGCGTAAAAAAATATATTGCATCTATGGAAAAATATAAGATTGATTCCAGTCTTAAAAAATCAGCAAAAATAATACAATAAACCATAAGTTTGCATGTTAGGATCTTAAACATTTTATTTCATAAAGATTGCACATGTGTATCATACAAAGTAAATTATCATTTGAAAAGGAAAAAAACATGTCATTAATTCATGAACACAAAAATTAGGCAAGATAATATGAGTTACTCATAAAAAGATTTTATTCATTGTCAAATTCCAATCCGCGTTTTTTCGTAAACGGCTGAATATATATGCCATGTTTAAAGGCACAATGAATATTCTCATGGACTACTAAAAGTGTGCAAAATTTGAAAATAATCTGAGATGTGCCTCACTGACCGACTCCTAACATGAGACATTTTGGTTATATTTGGTCCGGTCGACTTACAACGTTATAAAAATAACAATTACAGTTATAAAAATAAAAGTAAAGTAAAATTAACTTCTTAGAATTTGGGTCGATCGTGTTAAATTAAAATAAGTCATATAAAAAGAGAATTAAATTTTTTTTCCTAATTCATGTTAAATCAAAATCGTGTAAAAGAAGAAGTTCGTGTAAAAACAGAATTGGATGTAATTATTTTTATTCTAACGCTTTATGTATTTGTAAAATAGTCAAATGGAAAACAATACTTTTATGGCTGTACAATAAGGTAATAAGATATATGAACTTAATACCGATGAGAGTTTCTATCTCACCTATATTTGGAAGAATAAAAATTGTATATGTGTACAGATATTTGTATTTTAAAAAAGATCAATATTGAATCAAATCGATTAATCAGAAAAAATGTTGTATTGTAATATAAACATTGGTTTAATTTAATAGTAATAGCCGTACGAAATGATATATCAACAAGAGCAATATTCTTTTATATACTTATAAACTTAAATACACATAATTATATTCGTACTAATATTGGTGCTCTTTTGTACATCCTATAACCCTTATAAAAAAGATATTAATATTTTTTATAAAAATATAAAAGTATTAATGTTATCGCACAATTCAGTAATCATTTCTACGATCAATAAAATTTACGAAGATTAAAAAATTTTCTATAAGGGATACGATAAGATATACAATAAGTAAATCCCTCTATTTACGCGAGTAATTGTTTCCACGAACACAACACGTAAATGGAAAATGCGTAAATAAAACCATGAAAAATCGTTTAAAATAAATATCCGTTTCACATTCTCAACTACGTATGTAGTTCGTATTTAGCGGGATAGAAAAGTAAGTTTACACGATTATAAAATAAATTACATTGAGGAATCCCCGAATTTGCGTTTTCATATAACGGCATCGTATTGATATATGTATTTGCACTTATAACACAACGCGTAAAGTATGAATCCGCATAAATAGAAAAATTATTGTATTTTTGGAAAATGTTTCTTTTTTATATGAAAATAATGTAACAACGGAAATAAAATACGTATAGTAAGCTCAGTCGAGAATGGGCCTGCAAGGAGTGCGGGTCTGATTAATTGAAACCGTTGGTTTATGCTCTACTCTTGTAATACAGCTTTATATCACACACTTTTATGATGTAATTTTACATCACAAATATTTTTTTTATTTGCAGAAAGTTTCTATCTATCTATATATGTATATATATACTAATTTCGGTATAAAGAAGAAGAAAAATAAAACAAGTAAAAACTGAATAACATAGAGCAGGGGTACTCAACCTTTTTCCTTTGCAAGCTGCATATATCCACATCCTACATCAAGCGGGCCGCACATTGACACCGATTAAGTAAGCTTCGATGACTAAATAAAAAACAAAAAAGAAAGATTATCAGATTGAAAAACAATAAGTGATTTAAAACTCGCCCCCCCTCTCAGCAAGGAGCTGCGGGGTGGGGAACAAGTGGCCGGTAGTAAATTTTGACAGGTTGAGTGTGGCTGACATGAAACAGAATGATAAATAAAGCATTGGCGTAGACGTTCAAGTATTTTTTTTATCCATAGTTGACCGTGAACACAAGTGCGTTTATTGTCAATTTGAAATCATGTCACAAGATCCTATCTACTGTCTTGAAGAGTCCAAAAAGTGGGGATAGGAGAAGGGAGTGTATTGTCCCCCTCTTGTTGTCTTCCACCAAGTCTCGGCAAAAATCCATATAACTACAATAGCAATGTCATACGTTTAATAATGTAACAAGTAAAATTACAAAACTTGAAAAAATATTTTGTTATTACACAAAAATGTATTATATTCTAAGTATCTTATTTCATGAGTATACGTAAGAACCTAATCAGTAAGAATGAAGAATAATAAAATCAAAATTTATTATGTGACAGAAATAGTAAAGGATACTTATATCAGTTTTCATCGTAAAAACATTAGTATCCATTTCAAAATTGAATGTAATCACATTATTTTCCAACGTAGATCATTGAGTGTATTTATTGATAAAGCGTTAGTCAATAAAATATTATCGGATTATACAGAATAGATCATTTAAATCAAAACACCTACATTTTTCCGTTATTTCTCGTTTAATTTAATTGATAAATTGATAAATTATTTTTCAAAAGTCATTTTTTATAAAAAGATTTCGAATCAATCAGTATTTATTTTAAATAGAATCAAATAGGTTTTTACGGATTAATCGATGCAGTTTGATCTATCGAATCTCTACGCAAAATATAGAAAAATTATTATTTAAAAGAAATGTTTTAATTTAAATATTGGTTAATTAATATCATTCTCTTACTACTATTATATTTATTTACTACTCCTTCTTTACTATATTTTAAATATATACATGGTTTCTTAGCAATATTTGAAATTAAAATATCTCTTTAAATAATAAATTTTCGATATCTCGAAATATCTCTTGAAATCTTGTTTAAAAATAGCTATGGAAAAAAAAATTACCGCCATATGTACAATCTTCAAATAATTTCAAATAAACGTCGTCCTTAGGATTTCTATAACCAAGATATTTAAGTGTTCCAATTTAAATGTTTTACCTTGTATATCTTGTACAATTGGCTCTATCGATGTCATTTTTCTAAAAGTGATATATATCGCATGTCTCAGAGAACATATAAATATACATACATATTTACGTTGTCGTTCATTCGCTGCTAATCGCATTCTACAAGTTTGTAATTACAAACTAGAGGAATTAAAAGAAAAATAGAGGAGGGGCGTGGTGTCTTGTAATTCGGTGGGGATCTCGATATAAATATGTCCGTATGAACGATTAACGTTTTTATAACTGTGTACGCTGTGTAGCAACAATGACAGCTAGCAAAGAGGAAGGTAGTAGTGGCGAAGATGCAACAAACAACGTATCGCCAGGTAGATCCATTCATCGTCAACATCGTCATCGTTGTTATAATCAAATTATGATTATTTCCATTGTTATTATCATCATCATCATTATTTTTCATAATTATGTACGATCATTGTGCGCGTTGGAAATTATTTTTACTTAGAATTATTAAGTGCAACATTTACATTCCGCATGTAATTTTCCTTCTGCCGCGAAAAATTAGGTGATTCATTCAAAAAATGTTCAATCATATCGCTAGCTGAGTTAATAAATTTAACATTTCAAAGTGTAACAACTATGTTGATAATTTTTTGTAATATTTATTTTTAAAAATTTTATAAATATTCGAATAAATTACTTTGTGTTTCTTTATATATTTCATTGGTTTTTGGGATTGTTCAAGAAATTTCTAATCGATGAATTTGCACCTTTACCCTATACCTTTATATCCAGATTTAATTTATATATATATTTCGAACCGTTTATTTGATTTAAATATATCAGTCAGAAAAATCATCGCGTTGATTATCGCAAGTGTTGATTAATCTATGTGTGATAATACTTTAATATACGGTTGTAAAATATTTAGATAATATTTTAATTGAAAGACAAGATAACAAGAACAATTTCACTTGTACAGGTACCCTATCACATTCCTCTTTTTAAATGTATATCTACTTTGATTTATATTTTTTATCTTATTTTCGATCGCGACAAAAGTTTAAATTACATAAAGTCATACGATATTCCTGTATGTAAGAGGTATATTATTTTTCTTTCGTTCGTTTTCCTTTTAATAAATTCTTATTTTAAATCTCTAGAAAGAGAATTTTCAATAAATATACTTGTTCAAAATTTCACGCGTATACTACGTCTGTATATATAGGGGCATATTATTATTATTTTATAAATAAATGCAAATACGTTAAATTTTAACGATTAAGAGGAAAATATTATTCGCATCTAAAAGTTATATGTTAAAATAGTTTTGACATAATAATTTACTTTTACATATTTTAATTTATTACATTACGCGATCTCTTTGATAATATGGAATAAGTATGAGAAGGTATTCTTAAAGAAGTGGCTCGAATCCGTAAAAGGAAGATTAAAAAGACAAGAATTTATCAGTATTAAAATCAAGATGAACATTACTTTCATTTATTGAGTGTATGAGTGAGTGTGTGTGTGGTGTGCGTGCGCCCGCGAGCTCGATACATAATATATGTACATTTCAGGTAAACTGGGGATTAGACATTTGCAAGTCCTTCTACTTTTCTTAGCCATGGTCATCGGATATTTTCTTAGAGTGGGAATGTCAGTGGCTGTCGTGGCAATGGCAAATGCTACTACAGCAAATCCGAACATTGAGGTATGAATCTCTTTTATAGGATATCTATAGCATTTTATATTAGGAATTAAATATAAGCTTGAATTTTAATTTATTCAACGCAAGATTAGATAAAGCGTTACTTTTGATCTTATTGTGTTAGACAAATTTTATTAATTTAATTATTCAAATAGAAAATTAATTATTTTATAAATTTTATAAGTTAAAATATTACATTAAATAAATATAAAATGTGCTTTAATGGGATGTATTTGATCACGGACGAAGTGTGAGAAGTGATCTTTTTCTGTCTAAACAAATTTCGGATACTCTACAAAATATCCTTTTCGAACGGACATTCTATATAATATCCGCATTATATACATTGCCTGTAACATTTTTTTAACAGAGTGACTCAGAATTAGGTATCCCCACAGATAAAAATCAAGGGGTAGACATAACAGACCAATTCATTCACTAGATCTTACATCCCTAACAATAAATGTGTATGTTAATTCTGACTCATCCTGTATAATATATAATGCATATAACAATGAGTTGTAAATTTTAAATATTAAAAATCCATTAACAATTTCTTTTGCGAATCCTAACAATTAGATAGACTTTTTTCCCCGTTTAGGATTATGGATGGGATCCAGCACAAAGGTCAAGAATCCTCAGCTCGTTTTTCTGGGGTTACACGGTAATGCAGATACCATCAGGTTATATCACCACTATTTGGAGTACTCAAAAGCTTCTCAGTTTGGGAATGTTCTTTTGTGGTGTATTTAGTTTATTAATGCACCTCGCTGCCCATTATTGCGGCATTATCGCAGTATATATTTGCAGAGTAGGCATGGGTGTCTGTCAAGGTTGCCTCTTACCTTCTGTTCACACTCTTCTCTCAAAATGGGTGCCACCCTCAGAGAGGGCAAGACTTGGTGAGAACTACTCGATACGCGAAAGAGAACAAATGAAAATACTGATAAAGGCACGAAAGATCAAAAATAGGAAGCAAAAAAGGAATAAAAATTGCAAATAATAAGATGCATTTTGTATTCCTTTTTAGCTGTTGTTTTACTATTAGTGTTTGATTTGTTTTTCTCTTTCTCTCTCTTTATTTATGAAACTTTATGATGTTTTGTTTTGTTTTGTTTTTTAAGCTACCTTCGCCTATGCAGGAGCTCAGTTTGGTACAGTTATCGCTCTTCCAATTAGTGGTTTTCTCGCAGCATCATCAATAGGATGGCCTAGCATTTTTTATATTTTTGGTGGCATTGCTGTTTTGTGGAGTATAGCCTTCTTCTTCTTTGGTTCTGATACACCGTCCACCCATTCAAGTATTTCCATAGAAGAAAAAACATATATTGAAAACAGTCTGCATATTGCTAGTCCTAAAACCGAAGAGGTGAGTAAATTAACCAAGATATTAAGATTTTTAACAATATCCTAATGCCTACGTGGCGAACATAGTTAATAAAACCTAACTTTATCGAAGAATGATAAGGCAATTGGCCTTACAGGTCATGGTTATTAGACTTAGTGCGATAATCGATAATTTTTACGTTTAAAATAAAAATTGAGTTTAGCTAACAATAAGTGATGATAAATTTTTTTCTGTAACGATAATTTCAGATCTATTAATATTTTAAATAGAATAATTTTGACTCTACTTCGATAATACAATCATGATAAGAGCAACGATGTGCATCGACAATTAAAAAGTTAGCATTATTCGAAATGATTATACTTGATTGATTGAACAATTTTAAAAAAACGTTATTTAATCAATTTAACATATGAGATTTATTCTCTTGTGATAATTATGATTGTAGAAAATTCCAGGATAATGATTATTACAATTGAAATTGATCATTTTCTTTTTAGCAATTTACGAGATGGATTGTAATTTACGATAGCTCCATGTCAGCCATATGAAATCATTCTTTTGTATTCAGGCTTCTTAATTTGGGTATTTCATCATTTTAATGATAACCCAATACTTTTCCTTTTTAATTGAATTGCCTGCAGGTTCAGTAACAATGTGTTTTGCACATCGGCTCAAGGTTAATTGAAAATGTGAAATGTTCTATGTATTATGAGTAAGAATCAAAATGGAAGAAAAACCGAGAAGATATTAAAGTGTCATCAGAAATTTAAAGATTTTATGAAAGTTTTTTCCCATTGTACTTAGAAAACGAGGATAAAGTTCAAATCATGTTTTAATAATTTTTTTTATTCTTTTTTTTTATTATTGTTATTCTCGGAATATTACAGTAACTCGGTTTATCGGACAGATTATAAATTATTATATAAGAAAATTGCATCTTACTTCTTATTTGTACAAAGTGATTAGATAGCTATGTGTATAAATATTTTTATTTATTTATTATTTCATGCATATATGTAAAGCTAACGGATCTATTCATCTGGCGTATATAATTCCATAAGCATTATTTTTACAATTGATTTAACAAACGATTTAACAAATAATTTAATAGGAATGAAAGATTGTCTTATGTATGTACATGTAGACACATTTAATTCTATTTTAGTTTGTCCTTTACTCGATAAAAGAAAAGATTGAAAAAACTGAAATTGTAATTGCACGGCAAAAAGCATACTATGGTAATTACGAATACATCAACTTCACTGTTCACGTGCGCTAAGATATCTGATACGCGTTATATAATCTAAAAAGATTTTTTCTGTTTTAGACAATAATGAATTTTTAACATTGAATTTCATTATTAATTTTATTAATATTAGTATTTTTCTATCATTGGGAATTACATTAATATTGTACGTATTTTTTTAATGCTCATATCAGACTTATTATTTTTTCAGAAATTACGGACACCATGGAAAGAGATTTGGACATCAACACCAATGTGGGCATTGATAATTGTTCATTGCGGTCAAAATTGGGGATATTGGACTCTTCTCACAGAAATGCCAACTTATTTGAACTCTGTCTTAGGTTTTGATATTGAAAAGGTAATTAATTAATGATTTGGATATATAATTGAAATATATTCTTATTTTATCTCATATAATTATCTTAATTAGAATATTTTACACAGAACGGAGGTATTTCAGCATTACCCTATTTGGTGATGTGGATGTTAAGCTTTCCTGCAAGCTGGTTGTCGGATTATGCACTTAAAAGGGGTTTCTCTAGATCGATAATAAGAAAGTTTTCAAACAGTATAGCTCATTGGGGTCCGGCCATAGCTCTGATTGTTTTAGGTTTTGTCCCGACCAATAATCCACTTTGGACTGTTATAATTCTTATTGTAGCAGTTGGTCTTAATGCTGGCTCACTTTGTGGATATCAAATAAATCACATTGATCTTAGCCCGAATTATGCTGGTACTATGATGTCTATCACTAATTGTATTGCTTCTGTCATCGCGATAATTGCACCGATAATTTGTGGGGAAATCGTTACTAATTTGGTAAGTATAATTTTTGTCATATACAGGGTGGGGCAATAACTCTATCCACCTTGTATATCTTCTTTGTTTATAATCGTATTAAAAAACTTCAAAGAAAAAAGTTACATTATTGCAGGGGGAAATCTAATGGTTAAAAGAACTATTATAGAGATCATTTTTTTATGAGATTTGAATGTCAATTTTTTTTACCGCTTTGGTTGACATTAAGATGATTTCAGCAAGCTATTAATGAAGATCATTCAAATTCAAATGTGTTAGTAAAATAAACTTTCTTATATTATAAAAGATATTCGAAATTGTGACCATTTATGTCAATGTTACTGTGACCATATGGCATATCAACGAATAATAAGACATGTACATCTTTTAGTGATAAGACTACACTTTTGCTGAAACCATCTCAATACTGACTATCGCAAAGCGGTAACAAAATTAAGTAATCTAATTTAAAAAAACGGGAGATGACCTTGAAATATCCATTATACCTCCATCTATGCTAAATCTTTTTTAATTACAGAGCGATGAATCTCAATGGGCAATAGTATTTTATGTTTCGGCTGGCATTTATTTCGTGGGTAATTTGATATTTCTTATCTGGGGTAAAGGTGATGTACAATGGTGGAATGATCCAAAAGCTGTTAAAGAGAGCAAAGAGAAAAATCTAGTACCAATATAAGACCAATTTAATATGCAATATTAATTTTTATAGAAATAATGTTTGCAATTATGTCTTGTATGCATTTTGTATAATGGCTGTTGACACATGTAGTATACATAAGCATAACACTAATAGTATCACTGCGTATCAGTCACATTTACATTATTCATTTTTTCATGTTAATTTTTAGTTTATAATTTTCTTGTTATTATTATTTTATGTTTCTATTGCGTACCAAAGCTCAATCATTATTTATTGTAGTTATATAGATACGTGAAAATATTTTTATATATATAATTGTTAATGTTATAAGTTGTTGAATATAAATTTTTACTATTTAATCATATTGATTCTTAATGTTTTCCTACAAAATTTAAGGCATTTGCAATCATAAACTAATAGCTACTAAAGTAAAGAATTAATTTATTAATTTATCGACGATACAGTCATGCATAATTAAACATAAAAAATAAATATTGTTCGAAAATTGCGCCACTCAGAGTAAGTGACGGCACCTCTCGACCAGCATGATCAAGACGTCGTCTGTTATCTTCGGGAAGAAGATATATCGATTGTTCCTATTGAACAAAGGATCACGCTACGTATCGTGTAATCAGATCATTGGTCCTGTATGACGTCATCCTCAATGTTTGTTCTCCTATTGCTTGTTTGTCTCCTCTTCCTAGCGCGCAACGTGCTAATTGATGTATTGTTTTCTTGCCACGTCATCGCTGTTCCTCAACCCGTACCGAAAAGATGCGGGGTCCAGACAGAATAGTTTCTTAAGTAAACCGGATCAAACGTGTATTTGAAAGTCTCTAAAATTGTGCATCTTCAATTGTCAATTATATTTTAGTAAGAGTCAATATACACTTCTGTTTTGATTTTTGATAAGGGTGTGCAGATCCAAGTCCACGTCTCTCTTTCATCCTTACTAATTTTAATGATGCATCTTCTAATATTGGTTTGGATGGTTTTATAATAGAGACGCATGACATTGTTTTAATCTTATCCTCTTTTAAGCTATTTAAAATAGCAATACTTTTAGCACTCATAATAGGATGTTGCTTTTGTGTATTCTTGTTCTCTTTATTAGGCGATTCAAATGCATGATTGAAAATTTTGTGTTTTTGATGTGTTTTTTTAAATTGTTTCGAAGAAATTTTATTAATCGGATGTACAGACCTCTTTACTTTATTCTGTAAGGATGCTGTATTCTTACTTGTACCATTTTTATTTATAATTTGTATTGGATTCTGTTCAGTATTTATTATTGAATTCTGTTCAGAATTTATTATTGAATTAGTTCCATTTTTTTTATGTAATGTAATGGTTGTATCTAAAACTTCAACTGTGTTTTCTGTTTCACAGGTGTTCAAATTAAATGTTTTACTTAAAACATCCTCAGTAATTTGATCATTATGATTTTCTTCGTTAATAACTGATTCTACAAATACTGGCACTAAATTATTAAGGGAATCTTTTAACTGAGGTATACTTAAACAAGATAAACTGTAAATATCTTTTTCTTCGTCAATCAGTTCTGAATCTGACCATTTGATATTTCTAACGCCTTCGAGCGATTTAA